GTTGTATTTTGGGGAACTCACTAAGCTTCGTGCTTACGGTTTTCAGTTTACGTTTCAGGTACTTCCAGTTTGAAAGGAAACTGTTCGGCTTGATCGCAACACATTCATCCATGTTTCCGCATTATGATGATTTTGAGATTGTACTCTGATAACTTTTTTCTTATAAAGTACTTTTGAATATTTAGAAAAAATATATTGAATGTTGACTTAAAGATAATTAATGTTTTAGTTGAATTAAAAATAAAAATTTTACCTCATAATTTTGGGACATTACAAATACATTCTTCAATTAATGACTCCAATGAACCCCACACAAACAACAACAAAATACTCATCTTGAAAATTTGAAGTTTACTTCTTTCTAGAAAAAGGACATACACAAAAATGGTATAATGGATTTTTTTTTATATCCAAATTATTATAAAATAACCATTAAATTCACTGTACGTATATTAGATTTTTCCAATGTGGATTTTAGATTTCGTTGTAAGAATTACTAAAAAACTACAAACTTTTGTTATAAATATAGACTTTTCTGAATTTCGCACATGACATCATTTTTTCGCAAATGACATGTGAGAATACACATGATTTTTGCACATGATGTGGGAAAAGTTACAGAAAAATACAACAATTTATCTACTAGCATTCAGGAAAACTCTTAAATTTTGTTTATATGTAGAAAAACGTTTATTTTTTGTTACCTTTCATATTAACTTAAATATTCGAGTTTTTTTAAAAAGAAATTACTAGCTTTTTGTGACATGACATTTTATCTTTTTCGTTTTTAGGTTATCATAGAAATAACAATAAGTGACATTGTCTCTTATCTATGGTAAAACGTGAGAAATAAAACATTTACTCAAGCAAAAATAAATGACATTGTTTATTTATTTATTTTCCATGTCAACTAAAGAACAAATAAAAGAATATCATTTCACAAAACAACTGATAATTAAAAAAATACAGATATTTAGATAAATATGAAATGTAACCAAGGTTGGTACGTGTCATACCACACTTTTGCACTGACACATCATTTTTTTCCTCATCCCATAAAATTGATGGGTGTCATACAATACCTTACCACACTTTTATTTAATCTTAAATATATGTAAAAAAATATATCAATATTATGCTCTATTTATACGGAATTAAAAACCACGAGTTTTGATATATTTTCATAATGTTTTAATATATATATATATATATATATATATATATATATATACACACACGATTTAATAATAGTTAAAAAATGGGTGGCAAAACCGTAACTCACTTACCTCAACCGTACCCTTTTTATGGGTTCGATGCAGTGTTTACCGCATAACGTACTATACTGCGATATATAATATAGTACACACCGTATGGTCTTAAATTAATATGGTCTTAAATTAAGAATATTCTATATATAGCAAAATATAAGGGTTTCTTACAAAATACATATATTTGTGAGATAGCATCTCTAAATATGAATATTTTTGGATTTCCACCCATAGATACTAAAATAATTTGTAACCAAAATTTTACAAATAGTATCTATAAAAATTATAGCTATTTTTATAAACCATTAATTTTTTTATTGAATTTTAAAAAATAATGAACAATTAACGGTTTGTTTTTATATTTATTTATGATGTAAATGAATTTTTGAAAAATAACATATTAAATATGAGAAATTAAATATTTAGAAGAGAAAGACGGAGAAAATAATGAAAGTAGTCGCCGTCAATGCCGTCCTTTGACAGAAGGAAGACACCTTTCCTTTGGTGGTAATAAATGTGACCGCCAATAACCACCGTTGGATCTCATCATTACATATTCCTCTTTTATTTTTATTTTATTTTATTTTAAATTAAACTCTCAGCCACCGTTTCTGTTTCTGCTACGATTGCCTTCTTTTACTCCAGCAGTCGGCGCCTCCCATGTTCCAACCCACCCAAATAAATTACTGCTACACGTGCCTTCCTCTCAATCCATTCTCTTTAATTCAAAAATAATAATATTCAATGACCTCTCAACAAGACAACAACAACAAAAGTATATCCATACTAAAACTATTTTACAAAATTTCAAGGTATTTAATATATTCTCTCGAAATTTGTAGCAATTTATGTATAACAACAAACAGTTACATACTTATTTAAAAGGCTAAATGTTAATAAAAATACAAAAGGAGTTTTTAAAACGTTTTACTTTTAGTTTTAGTTTTTTATAAAGTCAAGTCAAAGAATTTTATTTTTTCATTGGTATGGATTTTAAACTTTTGTTTTTTTGCAAAAACCTATAATTGAAAAATATGTTTTAAATAATTTTTAAAAAGTTTTCACTTTTAAAATTTTTGGTTTTTGATTTTTATATGATTTTATATATTTAAAAACTAACAATTATTTTGTGTCAAATACTTCTACACCAATAAAAGATATAACTAGCAACTTTTATCTTTAATTTTAGGTATCGCCTACGAACTAGTATGAAGAAGTGATTTGTACAGAATAATTTTTTTTTCTATGCACAACAATTTATGTTTTATAAAGTTTTATAAAAAAAATATTTTTAAACACAAATTGTTGTGTAGAAATAAAAAGGGATAATGACTTGATAAGGTAAGATACTTTTTGAAATATACACATTTAGTCCTTATTCTTTTTTTTTGTAAAATAAACCCTTATACTTTATTTTTTGTAACAATGCAATCCTTGTGACCGGCTATACCCGGTATACCGGTCATATACGAATTTTCTTTTACGGAAAATGACTTGATAGGGTAAGATACTTTTTGAATTGTACACATTTAGTCCTTATTCTTTTTTTTTTGTAAAATAAACCCTTATACTTTATTAATATGTACACATTAGGTCCTTTTCACCGGATTCTACAGGTTTTGCTGATGTGGAAGCACAAGTGGCACTAAATAGCAATTAATTAGCTTAGTCATCGGAGGTGGGTGATCCTCCGGCAACAAGAAAAGGGCGGCGACCCTTCTTTTTCTCGTCTCTCTTCCTTCCGGTCGAACAGCAACAGCCAAACACCCTTTACCTGTTGTGTTTCTCCAATCTGTCTCTCTTTGCCTCCATCTTTGAGATATGTTGCCAGAAAAAGAAGAAAGAATCGACGAAGGGCTACCAGAGCAGTTCCTCGCAGCCAACTACCGTCTCTACTTCCTCCTGCCTCCCCATTCGACCTTGTTGTTTTTGCCATCATTCCTCCTTGCTACCAGTGATGTGTAGGAACACACAAAGGAGTCGCCGGAGATCGGGGTTCTCCCTCTTTTTCATGATGAATAAAAGTTGGAAAAATCTCGTTGTGGATATGTGGATGCCACCTGGGTATTTCATTTCAACAAAATAAAAGAAAGGGAAAATGACTTGATATGGTAAGATACTTTTTGAAATGTACACATTTAGTCCTTATTCTTTTTTTTATAAAATAAACCCTTCCACGTCAGCAAAACCTGTAGAATCCGGTAAAAAGGACCTAATGTGTACATATTAATAAAGTATAAGGGTTTATTTTACAAAAAAAAAAGAATAAGGACTAAATGTGTACATTTCAAAAAATATCTTACCCTATCAAGTCATTATCCCAAATAAAAATTGGTGTATACCAATAAGCTCCCCTAATTTTGACACACACAATGTCCAAAATATTATCAAAAATATAATTCTATAATTTCACTACACACAAAAGCTTCTATATTAAACACTAAAACTTTTATATTAAAGTTTTTATCACCTAGTCTTATTATTTCATACACAAAACCCTAAATTTAAAAATAGAAAAAATAAAAATCTATCATAGGTATATTATTGAAAAAAAATCTTTTAAGGAAAAAAACTCAAACATTTAAATATATAGAGTTTTTTAGGTTTATGTGGGCCGTTCAGATGGTATTATTTAGCATTTTTTATAGCTACGAACTTAATGTTGTAAATTTTATATGTATAATATTTTATAAAAAATTGCAAGCTCTTAAAAGATATCGAAGGTCTTTACAAAATAGTGTGGTTTACTATTTTGGGATATGTTTGACAAAATAGTTGTTATCTTGAGAGCTGTTCTTTTCATATTTGCAAATATATTTAACAAAAATACTTGTTACCTTTTGAAAAATGTTGAGGTTTTAAGGCATGTTTGATAAAAAGCTAGTAGCTTTGAGTTGTAGATGGAAATTGTAGTCTTTGCTTATATACAAGTGTTCTATAAAATATCTATAAACTTAAATAAAAACTTTAAACTTCTATTAAAGAAACAATCATTTTAAAAGCATATTGTCGAACACATCTTAAATAATCGCAAAATTAATATAATACTATTTTAGTCAATTGACCTATAAAATTGTGTTTATCAGTCAATTAACCTATGATAAGTTTTTGTTTTCTATATCGATTATAATAAAGAATGTCAAATTATACTTATAAAATACAATAGCAATGTACATTTGACTCTTTCCCAACAATAGCAATCTAGTTTTTGACTCTTTCCCCAAACCGATGTTATTTTTTGTAATTTACCTCAATATTATTCTCATTATTTTATTATGTTTTAAAATAATAATTAAAGTTGGTGTTGTTTTTTTGGGGGCGGAGGAAGCATCAGTTATCGTAGCGCCATACGCCTACACTTGGCTGCACAACTGGAAAATAAATGGAATTTAGCAGTACAACAAGCAATGCGAATGGTACAATTAGTTCATCATCATCATCCTAAATTACGAGATCGATTCAACAAAATTCCGATTGCACTAATATGGAAATTGAAGAACGAAAGATTGCAGAGATGTTTGTTGTTCTTTTGATATCTGTACAAACGGAAGAAAAGATTTAACATTATCAGCGCATTGAGACATTATCAGGCTGCTTTAATCCTATTACATTTTCATTTTTATCTAATTCTCTAGGTTTGATCTGCTCTGCGATGAAAAAAAAAAAAAAAAAAAAGGAAACCAGGGGCGGAGGGTGGCGGAGGACCGGAGATTGCTAAAAAAGAAAATTACATCAGGCAACTTCCGACGGGGGAAAATTAAGATCAAAATCAAGAGCGAAGGTTTTTTCTGGTTGTGGACGATCGGTAGGATGACTGAAATTGACGACGGAAGAGGAGTCGGAGTCGCTTTGTGCGTTGTTGCCGGCGGCGATAGTCAGGTTGGGTGCAGGAAGAACGGATCCGTCCAATCTGAACATGTCCAAACGGTTGTTGTGTTTGGCGGTGTTGTTGATCTGCGAATGGTAGAGGAACAAGGAATGAGCCATCGGGAAACCAACAGGAAAGTGCGACAGGGTGAGATCGAGAGCCGACGGTGGAAGAGGAGCGGCGGCGATCGGAACGGTGGAGTTACCAGACTCAACGGTGCTGCTCTCACCGCTAGGGCTTTTAGTCACAGCCTTAGGCTTCCCACCAACGGCGACCATCGGGAGCGACAATTCGGTGGATGTAGGAAAGTTGGTCTTCGCCTTATCGCCACGGAACTCCCGTGCGGCGGAATCGTAAGCACGCGCCGCCTCCTCCGCAGTATCAAATGTGCCTAGCCAAACACGGCTCTTCTTTCCAGGATCCCTGATCTCAGCTGCGTAACGTCCCCATGGCCTCTTTCTGACACCGCGGTAGCGAGTCTCGGAGCCGCCATTGCCGCCGCCGGTGTTGCCGTCAGGTTTCCCGCGAGGAGCCATGGTGTAAGAAATGGAGAAAGATTGGACATGAGAGAAAAGGGGGAGAGGATGTGGTCTGTTTTTATAGTGGGGAGAGAGTCGTAGAAAAACGGAGCTCCGCACCACTCTCATGACATGGGGCGCGTGTGGATGAAATGTTAGGCTCCTCCTCCGTGGCCTAGGGCTAAATTCAAGAGGTTTTACCACCCACCCATACTTTCCTAAATTAAGGGTGTTAGAATTTTCACACTTTAATATTTTTGTTCTTTCTTTCTTTTTTCTTTTTTTTCTTTTTTTAAATCATAATAGGAAACTCATCACTATAACAAGATACATGTATTTGGATATTTGTATAAAAAAACACAATAATCAAATATAAATATCAAAATAGACAAAGGAAAAAAAAATGATAGACAGTTAAAAACAGTTATATAAGGTCTGGTTCATAAGATATAAGAAGATCCTAAAACACGGTTGTGTATATTGTCGATATGTTGTTTACGTTGAAAATTGTCTGCGTGCAGTAAAGGTTACGAATACGATAAGCAACATTAAAATGAATGTTTGTCGGCGGCTTGACATACGTAATCCAATATTTGATGTTTTGTTATCCTTGTTGTGTTAGTGGTTTGCAAGGTATAAGGATGTAGGGAGATTTGACGTCCGACATAATATATTTAAATATATGGTTTATATGTTTGTATATTGATCCACGAAGCTACCCAGTTGTGTAACTGATTACCAGACTAGTAAAGGTCAAATGTGAATTGGTACTTGATGACATAACTAATAGAACATGTATACGTGTAACTAAACATATTGGTAAGTGGTAGCGTCGTTATAACCATGTAGGCAGTTGCATACATTGTCGTTACATTGTTTACGTTGAAGATTGTATGCGTGCAGTGAAGGTTACAAATAGGATAAGCAACATTAAAGTGAATGTTTGTCGGCGGCTGGACATACGTAATCCGATACTTGATATTTTTGTTATCCTTGTTGTGTTAGTGGTTTGCTAGGTATAAGGATGTCATACTCTCACGTCAAGGAGATTTAGCGTCGTAATCTGATACTTGATATTTTTGTTATCCTTGTTGTGTTAGTGGTTTGCAAGGTATAAGGATGTCATACTCTCACGTCAAGGAGATTTGGCGTCCGACATAATATATTTCAATATATGGTTTATATGTTTGTATATTGATCCACGAAGCTAACTGGTTGTGTAACTGATTACCAGACTAATAAAGGTCACATGTGAATTGGTACTTGATGACATAACTAATTGAACATGTACACGTGTAACTAAACATCTTGGTAAGTGGTAGCGTCGTTATAACCATGTAGGCAGTTGCATACATTGTCGTTATATTGTTTACGTTGAAGATTGTCTACGTGCACTAAATGTTACAAACAGGATAAACAACATTAAAGTGAATGTTTGTCGGCGGCTAGACATACGTAATCCGATACTTGATATTTTTTTTATCCTTTTTATGTTAGTGGTTTGCAAGCTATAAGGATGTCAGACTCTCAATTCAGAGAGATTTGGCGTCCGACATAATATATTTAAATATATGGTTTGTATAGTTTGTATATTGATCCACGAAGCTATTGTGTAACTGATTACCAAACTAGTAAAGGTCATATTTGAATTGATACTTGATGAATTAACTAATAGAACATGTACACATGTAACTAAACATCTCGGTAAGTGGTAGCGGCGATATACTCATGTAGTGTGACGCATGTTTTTGTTGGGTTATCTAAATATAAATATTATAATCGTGCATTTATAATAAAATGAGAAATCGCAATATCTAGATGGTCCACATTGAATCTATCTTACTTCCGGCCACGCATGGATAAATCACAAAACCAATAATATTTTTGGAGTGGCATGGTTCAAAGGACCTACGTATGAAATTTCTTACCTCGACCACTAGGATCTCATTGTAGAAACTGTTGGATTAGGTGTCTAAGCCCATAACTATAATTGGTATGTACTTGAATTGATAGCAGCACAATCCTTTTGGGTTGCCCTCAACCTAGCAACTGGACAAGGAAATTATGAAAGGAGAGATATTAATTTATAAGATTAATAAATTAATATATATATATATATATAATTGATTTATTAATATGTTAATGGATTAATATATTAATTAGAAATCATTATGGTTAATTAATTGTTAGCCAGAAATTAATCAGAATTGATTTTGGGGTTAAAAGAATTAATTATAAAGTGCAGGGACTAGTTTGCAATTAACTGATAGTTGAATGGAAGGATCCATAACTCCCTTGGAAGGGGGTGGACGAAAACCCTAGGGGAAACCCTAGAGAATTCGTCCAAGGGGTCCAAGATAAGGCCTTGGGTCTTGCTTAGGCCCTAAGCAAAGGATAACTAGGGTTTTCCCTAAACCCTAGTTCCCTCAACTATTTAAGGAGCCTCCTGGCTCACATTTTGGGTACTGATTTCTTTGGAAGAAACCCTAAGGCCGAAATTGCATACTCTCTCCATCCTCTCTCCTCCAAGTTTCCTTCTTGCTAGTTCTTGGGTGTGATTCCATTAGAGGCATTACATTTGTGGTGCTAAGCTTCCAAGAAGATCAAGATCAAGATCAAGAGGATTATCAATTGTTTGCTATAACAATTGAAAGGTATGTAACTCCTAAACCCTAGTTTGTTAATTTCGAAATTAGCCTCTCTCCTCTAGGGTTCTTGTTTTGCAATTCAAAGTTGTATGTTCAATAGTTAAAACATAGATCCAAAGTAGGTTGCATGTGAACTTAGGAATTGTTTTCTAGTTTATTTGTTGTACCAAAAACCCATCAGTGGTATCAGAGCCATTGTTTGTTTTAAATTGAATTGCTATAATTGTTGAATTGCAAATTAGGGTTTATAGCTATTAAACCCTAAAGGCCAAATTTTCGCAATTAGGGTTTTGGATTGAAGGGTTTTCAAAACCCTAGCCTCCAAAGAACCCTAATCGAAATTAGGGTTAGGGTTTTGAAAACCCTAGCCTCCTCCCTTGTAAATTTCGAAATATGCTAGAAGTTTTTAGGGTTTCTTGTTTTGGATAATTGTTACTTAATTAGATTAATTGGATAATTATCCTTACCCTATTTTTCGAAATTTAGAGGGATAAGGATTAGGATTAAATTAATGGATTAATTTAATTAGATAATCCTTACAAGATTTAATAATTTGATTAATAGTTAATTAAAAGATAAATATTAAATCTAGTTAATTGGTTTATTTAAATTTAGATTTAATAGCTTAAATTTCGAAATTTATAAGCCCTTGAAGTTTTAAAATGTTTTAAAACACACCTTATATATATTTTAATTAAAAGTTTAATATTATATATGTATAAGAATATGGTCAGTCAAATCGCTAGTATGCCTCATTCACGAAGCTAATCTATAAGGGGGGTATAAGGAAACTGCCTATAAAATGGTAGTTGAATGGGTGTCCACTCTCACCCACCGCTTCCTTGATTAGTGGAGGGTCGTTAGCAGAACGGATTTGATAGGACAACTACTTCTCATTAAAAGTATAATGATATTAAAGAAAGTACTAGAACATTATTTTCAAAATCCCAACTCTAGTTACTTTAGGAAAAATGTGAAAAGTATGCTAATCCATGAAATTGCACATTGTGCTTTATTGGTCGTTAGTGGAGCGTGTGTGGTTAACCAGCACACTAAAAGGCACCAATAAAGAGTAGTAATGGGTATCTCATAATTGTCATTTTGATGGAGCGTGTGTGGTTTACCAGCACATCAATAGTTAATGATAAAGACAATGAGGTTACCAAGCACATTTGCATGGTTATTCACATCTTGTTTGTGATCCTCGGCATCCCAGTCACAAATAGAAGAGCATAATCTGAGATTAAAACATGCCATTGAATAGTTTCAATGTATCTCAAAAGAATTAGGAATTTCACTTCGTTGTTTCGTCTAATGGTGGAATTGGTGAATCGTCATTCACCTACCTTTATGAAATTTGCACTTGGATCTCGGCATCCCATTTCTAAGTTGTGAATCTTCATAGTTGGATCCTAACCTTGATATTATATCTTTGGGTTATTCTATTAAGGTATCTTGAAATCTAACTAAAACTTTCTTTCTTTTCAGATGTCTACTCCTGGAAACACTTCTGCTTCGTCCTCCTCCAACCAAAACTTCTCTTTGCTCAATATATGCTCCAAAGTCGTTATGGATGGCTCAAACTATAACGATTGGATGCGCAACATCAAGATGGCTCTTCGTTTCGAGAACAAAGAATATGTTCTTGAAAAGGAGCTCAAAGAGCTTGATGAGAATGAAGCTACTCCTGAAGATCTTGCTGCCTACAAGAAACATTACGATGATGCTACCAAAGTGGCATGCATCATGGTGGCAACTATGTCCCCAGAACTGCAGAGGTACTATGAGGACTACTGGCCTTTCGAGATGAACAAGGACCTTATGGAAAAGTACCATAAGCGAGCTCGTCAAGAAAAGTTCGAAGTAGTCAAGTCACTCATGGCTTGCAAGATGAAAGATGGGGAGTCGGTTGTGTCACATGTGCAAAGAATGCAACGCTACATAGAGCGTTTGGTCAAGCTCAATATTCACTTTGATGAGGAATTGGCCATTGACATGGTCTTGAACTCACTTCCTGAATGTTATGGTCAGTTTATTCTAACTTACCATTTGAACAATACTGAGCAGACCTTGGCCCAATTGCACAACTTGTTGCAGACAGCTGAGGCAGGGATGAAGGGTAAAAGTATACCCTCCACACCTACCAGTGCCCCTGTTTTGGCTATTGGACAGGGAAAGGGGAAAAAGAGGAAAGGTCCTCCCAAGCAAAACTGGAAGAGCAAGGCTCAAGCTGGGTCATCTAGTAATGGCCCAAAGGCTAAGCCCAATGGTTCCACTCCCCATGTTTCTGATCCAAGAGAGGCAGTTTGCTTTTACTGCAACCAAAAGGGGCATTGGAAGAGATCTTGCCCACAATATCTGCAAGATATC